GGGCTGGGGCTGGGGCTGGGCTCACAGATGGAGGTGCTGGGGGACACGGAGGAAGGCCCAGGCCTGGCCTGACCTATGGTCGCCTCCTTGTCAGCATCAAGCAGCTGCACGAGCGGGTGACTCAAGAGTGTGCTGAGTACCGCGCCCTGTACGAGAAGATGGTGCTGCCACCTGCCGTGGGGCCCAGGGTCGACTGGGCACGCGTGCTGGAGCAGAAACAGGTCAGGGGCAGCCCCCACCTCTGAGATGTCCTCAAGGAGCAAAATGTCACACCCCGGCACAATCAGAGCAATCTGGGGCCTGATTGCATGCTGGAACCTGGGGATAGATCAGGGGTCTGAGAAGGGAGAAAGCAGAACAGACAATGCAGTCAGGGAAGGCTTCCTGCAGGAGGAGGCCCACGAAGAGGCACAGAGAGGCAGGAGGGCTTGGTTGAGTTGGGGTAAAGTGGTGAGGAGAGGACATTCCAGAAAGCAGGGGCAAAGTCTCCTGCTGGGAGGGAGGCTGGGGTGCAGGGGGAAGTGGAGTGTTCTGGGCAAGTGGGCAGAGCCAGGTCACGGTGCCCTGATTGTTGGGTGAGGAGTTGTGCTTCGAGGCCAGAACAGAAGGGGCATCGTAATGACAGTGGAGGGACAGTGGAGAAGGGCCCAGGTGGAGCAGGGCATGCTGAGGGTCCCAGGGCTTGCCTGGAGGTGTCCGGGTAGGACGTGCTGAGGTCAGGGCCTCAGGCGAGGCATGGCAGAGTGGGAGACTTTTCAGAGTCTGAGCCCTGAGTGCTAGGAACCAGTGGGATTTAGGGACTGCAATGATGGTGACACTGAAGCCTCAACCAGTGCCACTAAAGAATGGCACATTCCCCAGGGCAAGCAGCAAGCCATTCACCCATGCTGCTCACGTGGCCTGTCCAGCCTCTGCCCAAATGACCAACTCCACTTCATCCCATGGGGACGTGGGGAGGCACCACAGGCGCTGTGGGATTCTCTGGGCTGCTCTTCCCTGGGCCTTGTGGGCAGAACTGAGCGGCCATCTCTTCTGCAGAAGCTAGTCTGCGAGGGCAGATACGGGCCAGGAATGGGGGAGCTGGAGCAGCAGGTCGCCGAGCACAACATTCTGCAGAAGGAGATCGAGGCCTACGGGCAGCAGCTGCGGAGCCTCGTGGGGCCGGTGGGTGCTGAGAGCTGGAGCTAGATCCGCTGGTCCTCTAGGGAGAGGGATGGCTGGGCCATGGCTAGCCCAGATCATAGGGTGCCATCTCCCTGTACCCTGCCTCTCATGGGCCTGTGTTTCTCTCCTTGGTCGAGGCAGGATGCCACCGCCATCCGGAACCAATACCGGGACCTACTGGTGAGCAGGGGGAAGGGCCGGCTGGGTGGCTCGGTGGCTGGGGGGCGGGAGCCTGGCTGCCTGGACCTTTGATGAGGCCAGTGTTTCTGCTCGGCCTGATGGCACCTCCCATCACCCCCTTCTCTCTCCCCGTCTCTCGGCGCTGGTCCTGAGCACAGAAGGCGGCCTCGTGGCGCGGGCAGAGCCTGAGCAGCCTGTACACGCACCTGCAGGGCTGCACGCGGCAGCTGAGTGCCCTGGCCGAGCAGCAGCGGCACATCCTGCAGCAGGACTGGAGTGACCTCCTGGCTGACCCTCCAGGCGTGCGGCGGGAATATGAGGTTGGTGGGCACGGGCAGGGCCGGGCAGGGCCGGGCAGGGGTAGCCGAGCCATCCTGGTCCTCACCGGCCTCCCCACCCGCCACTTGCCTGCAGCACTTCAAGCAGTACGAGCTGCTGAGCCAGGAGCAGAGTGTGAACCAGCTGGAGGACGACGGAGAACGTATGCTGGAGCTGGGGCACCCGGCCGCCGGGCCCATCCAGGTGCAGGCGGAGGCCCCGTCCACTGCCCCCCAGACCCCCCATCAGGGGGTTTCCCAAGGAGGCAGGGGACAGTGAGAGAGGGACAGGGGGAGTGTGGGACAGATGGAGGGAGGGTGGCCGGGAGGTGGTCTCAGGGCTGCATGCTGCTGTCTCCAGGCCCACCAGGAGGCCCTGAAGATGGAGTGGCAGAACTTCCTGAACCTGTGCATCTGCCAGGAGAGCCAGCTGCAGCGTGTGGAGGACTACCGCCGGGTGAGCCGTGCAGGGCGGCCCCGGGGGGGACGTCGCCACAGGACACCTGCTGTCCGGAGAGGCAAGGCACCTCCCAAGAGGACAGAGCTGTGTGTCATTGTAACTAGGTGTCAGGGGAAAATAATGTTATGCATGCATTCTCAACAGGGTGATAGCGCCCCCAGGAGGGTGAAATTCGTTCTTCAGGGGAAAAAAAACGCACCTACATACAAGCACCTAAACCGATGAAGCATTATCTGTGGTGTTAACAGAGATGGGGGTGGGGGGATTAAGGAAAAAATGTCTAAAAAGGCTCTTTAAGAGAATGGTAATGAAAAAAGGATTGAGAAACACTGATCTAATATACAACTGGGATTTTTTTTTTTCCGCTCAAAATGTTTCATACACTTTTAACAGAGACAAACTCCAAGGAGTTTTCTTTCATTTCCTTTTTTGTTTAAGGGCATTTACCTATATTACCACAATTCCATTATCACACCTATTGACAATAATTCCACAACATCATCCAAGCACGGCTTTTTTTCTGCAGCACATTCCCAGCTTCTTCTCTGAGGCTGGGACAAGTGCAGCCCAAACACCCTCTGTCCCAGTGAGAACGACTCCAGGTACTGGAGGGAGCAGGCGAGGGTGCCCTTCACCTGTGCAGGAAGGACGAAAACCACATGTTTTACGACACACTTAAAAAGTTAAGTTCAAAAAAGAAATTAAGTTCAGTGAACCCAAAACACCTCATTTGCCAAGCACTCCAATTAAAAAAGGTCCAATTAAAAAGGGCCAATTAAGGGCCGGCCCCGTGGCTCACTCGGGAGAGTGCGGTGCTGATAACGCCAAGGCCATGGGTTCGGATCCTATATAGGGATGGCCGGTTTGCTCACTGGCTGAGCGTGGTGCTGACAACACCAAGCTAAGGGTTGAGATCCCCTTACCGGTCATCTTTAAAAAAAAAAAATGGGGGGGGCCAATTAAAAATGATCCCACTGCCTGAATAGAAACAGTCCAACAGCACAGGGGAAAGTAACAGTTTGCGCCTAGCTGGTTTGCAGGGTCAGTGGGCAGCAGGTTGCCCCAGCTCTGCCCTTGACCACTCAGCAACCTTAGTTCCAGGAAGAGGCCGACTCGGTCAGCCAGACCCTGGAGAAGCTCAACTCCAACTTGGACGCCAAGTTCAGCACTGCCCCTGGGAGCCCCCCTGGTGCCCACCCAGAGCTGCTGCAACAGCTGGAGGTGAGGTAACCCCCACAGGCCATCTGCCCCTATGCCAGGAATCGGGCCTGCCCGTCTTTCTGGGCCTCATCCCTCCCCATCCAGGTACCTTGTCCTGCTCCAAGCCCTGGCCTGGGGAACAGGCGAAGGGGGCCCACTCCAGCAGGAGAAGGCTGGCCAGTTATCAGCAAGCCCTTCCCCCTGTTTCCTCATTTGTAATGTGAGAAGGGCAGCCTGGTAGAGTTCTGAGGTCCCTCCAACCTCTATTCTGGAGGCCTGCTCAGTCACCCACCCCCTGACAAGACCCCAGGATCCTGGGCCCCCAGAGAGGGGCTGCTTTTCTTTTGTTGACTTAAAAGCTCTGCCTTCGTGAAGGCCAGACCCTGGCCCTCTTGGGGAGTGGGTATGGGGTGGCTGGCCTCCAGTGCAGCCTGGCCGGAGCCCCCACTGCCTGGACCCCCCACAGGCAGAGGAGAAGAAGCTGGCTGTGGCCGAGAGGGCCCTTGGGGACCTGCAGCAGCGGAGCCAGGAAGTGGCCCCTCTGCCGCAGCGCAGGAACCCACCCAAGCAGCCTCTGCACGTGGACAGCCTCTGCGACTGGGATTCAGGAGAAGTATAAGTTCTGCCCACCCAGCCCCTCCCTGGCCCTGCCCCCCACCCAC